GTTTTAGGATTATATATAAGATATTTCGATTTTTTTTCATATTTTGAACCATTGAAATGCAATGACCATCGATAAGTGGCCTATGTTTTGCCGGAGTGTTGATTAATTTCTGTTCTGGCAAATTTCAGGCGCTTGATGTGTCCTTTTTTAGCAAAGGTCATGCCGGATATTTTGGGTTTTGCTGTCGAGTTATAATCTCTGAATTTTGAACACAGGAGATGTCTGATGACGATGGGATCCCGGAGTGCGGGTACTGCTATGATGACCGGGGTGTGTGCGACAGGTTTCCTCACCTGCAAAATGATAGGTTTTTCACCGTGAAGCTGGAAGGGACCTTCAATGTTTGTATGGTATGCAACGACAAGCATTTCATCGTAATTAATATAATCACTTGTGCTTCTTTTGTTCAACCTGTAATTTATGGATTTTTTTTCAATTCAATTAGTACATCCCGTGCCATGCTAGACCATATGTATTGGAGAAGCTTGGTTTTGGTTTAGATGACTTTGAGAGTGTGGGGACGAGGAGGGCTCACTTAAGAACTAAACATGGTTACGAGTTTCTGGTTAAGTTCTACAATGTGGTCGATCGCTCCCATTTTGGTTTCTCTAATTGGGAAGATCTCTGCATGGCATATGGATTTGAGGAGGGAATGCGAATAAGATTTGATATTCGTCCCGAAGATTATGATGATGATGATAATATCGACATCTGGGTGGATGTGGATATGCCTCCAGTTTTGCCTAGATGTGAGTTTGTCAAACTAATTTGTTAAGTTCAGTAATTTATGTTGTTAATTTAAAAATATTTGGTGTGAATAAGATTTGTTAATTTTCAGCTTATTTCTTATCTTCAAGAAATACTCGGAAGGTAGTAGACAACACATACTACAGCTATGACTCCAAGCTTAATTGTGAGGAGAAAGGTTATCTTGTCTCATTCATAGAAGATGTTGAGGCCTTCAAAACCAGTCACTCTATCAGCCAAAATTATACTAGATACATGCCACTAGTCCATACATTGCTTGATGATAACTTCATTGCTAAAAACTTGGTTAGATTTTGTTAATGATGGTAACTTCATTGCATACATTATTCTTAAGTAAACCATTGCTAACTATATATGTTACTATTTCGTTTTTGAACAGAGGCTCCCGAAGCAGGTTGTGCCTGACATGCTATTTACCGAAGGTGATATGCATATGGTTAGCTTACGACCAACTCCTTCGGAGGCTTACCATATTTCATACTCGATTTCTTCAAACGATGGAAGGCTCAAAATCAAATGATGGAGCAAAGTGATGAATGCGCACACGCAAATAATTGGAGACAAAATGAATGTGCGCAAGCCACAAGTTGGAGATAGGTTTATGCCCATTCTTCATTATGGTGAAGGACCGATTTATCTGTTTTATGGTATTTTAGCTAGGAGAGAGGAGTAGGTCCTAAGTATTAAGAACAATTAGTTAGTGTTGATTATATATGACTACAATGTCTTAGACTTGATGGTGATGCTGAGTAGGAGTAGTGACTATGAGTACTATGATGATGACGACGAGTTGTTATTATAACTAGTGACGAAGTTGTTATATGATGTCCCATCATGGACGAAAATGATGATTATGAGGAGTTATATGACAATGATATATTACGATGATAAGTTGTTAATGATATTATGATAATGATGAGAAGTTATTATGTCATTGGGTGAAAGAACCGCCAATTAGTTTCAAATGGATGGATCCAAAGTGACCATTGGTTACTTTGGATCCATGCACTTGAAACTAATCCAAGGTTCTTTCACCTAGTGATTTAATAACTCATTACGATGTAAAAACAATCTCTAAATTGCTACTGTATGAAAAATTGTATACGGGTATATGAATATGACCTAAAATTCAAAAGAAATGGAATAGGGAATAATAGTAGTAGCGGTTGTTTTCGAAAGCGCTACTAATAATTAGCAGTAGCGATTGACTTGGAAAGCGCTACTACTAAGTAGATATAGCACTAGCGAGTGCCAGTAGGCGCTACTGCTAAGCATTAGCTGTAGCGCCTTATCAGTAGCGCGCTTACCCACGCTACTGATAGGCCAAAAACCAGCGCTACTGCCAGTCTTTTCCCTAGTAGTGTAAAGCTACCATCGAACTAAGCAAAATAAGATGCATAAAAGATAAACATCACATGCAATCAAAATATGTGACATGATATGATCATCATCATCTTGTGCCTTTGATCTCCATCTCCAAAGCATCGTCCTGGTTTCCATTGTCACCGGCATGACACCATGATCTCCATCATCTTGATCTATATCAATGTGTCGTCACATGGTCATCTTGCCAACTATTGCTCTTGCAACTATTGCTATTGCATAGTGATAAAGTAAAGCAATTATTTGGCGCTTGCATCTTATGCAATAAAGAGACAACCATAAGGCTTCTGCCAGTTGTCGATAACTCCATTACAAAACATGATCATCTCATACAATAAATTATAGCATCATATCTTGACCATATCACATCACAACATGCCCTGCAAAATAAGTTAGATGTCCTCTACTTTGTTGTTGCAAGTTTTACGTGGCTGCTATGGGCTGAGCAAGAACCGTTCTTATCTACGCGTCAAAACCACAACGATAGTTCGTCAAGTTAGTGATGTTTTAACCTTCTCAAGGACCGGGCGTAGCCACACTCGGTTCAACTAAAGTTGAAGAAACTGACACCCACCAGCCACCTATGTGCAAAGCATATCGGTAGAACCAGTTTCACGTAAGCGTACGCGTAATGTCGGTCCGGGCTGCTTCATCCAACAATACCGCCGAATCAATGTATGACATGCTGGTAAGCAGTATGACTTGTATCGCCCACAACTCACTTGTGTTCTACTCGTGCATATAACATCTACGCATAAACCTGGCTCTGATGCCACTGTTGGGGAACGTAGTAATTTCAAAAAAATTCCTACGCACACGCAAGATCATGGTGATGCATAGTAACGAGATGGGAGAGTGTGTCCATGTACCCTTGTAGACCGAATGCGGAAGCGTTAGCACAACGCGGTTGATGTAGTCATACGTCCTCACGATCCGACCGATCCAAGTACCGAACGCACGACACCTCCGAGTTCTGCACACGTTCAACTCAATGACGTCCCGCGAGCTCCGATGCATGAAAGCTTCACAGGAGAGTTTCGTCAGCACGACGGCGTGGTGACGATGATGATGATGCTACCGACACAGGGCTTCGCCTAAGCACCGCTATGATATGATCGAGGTGGATTATGATGGAGGGAGGCACCGCACACGGTTGGGAGAGATCAACCGATCAACTTGTGTGTCCTGGGGTGCCCCCTGCCCCCATATATAAAGGAGCAAGGGAGGAGGAGGCCGGCCCTAGGAGGGGCGCGCCAAGGGAGTAGGATTCCTACTCCTAGTAGGAGTAGGTTTCCTTCTTTCCTAGTCCAACTAGGAGAAGGGGGAAAGGAGGGAAGGGGAGAAGGAAGGGAGAGGAGGGCCGCGCCCCAAACCCCTTGTCCAATTCGGACTGGGCTTGGGAGGGGCGCGCGCCACCTCCTGGCTGCTGCCGCTCCTTCCCACTAAAGCCCATTAAGGCCCAACATTTCTTTCCCGTATTCCCGTAACTCCTCGGTACTCCGAAAAATATCCGAATCACTCGGAACCTTTTCGATGTCCGAATATAGTCGTCCAACATATCGATCTTTATGTCTCGACCATTTCGAGACTCCTCGTCAGGTCCCCGATCTCATCCGGGACTCCGAACTACCTTTGGTACATCAAAACACATAAACTCATAATACAAATCGTCACCAAACTTTAAGCGTGCGGACCCTACGGGTTCGAGAACTATGTAGACATGACCGAGACACGTCTCCAGTCAATAACCAATAGCGGAACCTGGATGCTCATATTGGCTCCCACATATTCTACGAAGATCTTTATCGGTCAAACCGCATAACAGCATACGTTGTTCCCTTTGTCATCGGTATGTTACTTGCCCGAGATTCAATCGTTGGTATCTCAATACCTAGTTCAATCTCGTTACCGGCAAATCTATTTACTCGTTCTGTAATGCATCATCCCCGCAACTAACTCATTAGTTACAATGCTTGCAAGGCTTATAGTGATGTGCATTACCGAGTGGGCCCAGAGATACCTCTCCGACAATCAGAGTGACAAATCATAATCTCGAAATACGCCAACTCAACAAGTACCTTCGGAGACACCTGTAGAGCACCTTTATAATCACCCAGTTAAGTTGTGATGTTTTGGTAGCACACAAAGTGTTCCTCCGGTAAACGGGAGTTGCATAATCCCATAGTCATGGGAACATGTATAAGTCATGAAGAAAGCAATAGCAACATACTAAACCATCAAGTGCTAAGCTAACGGAATGGGTCAAGTCAATCACATCATTCTCCTAATGATGTGATCCCATTAATCAAATGATAACTCATGTTTATGGTTAGGAAACTTAACCATTTTTGATTAACGAGCTAGTAAAGTAGAGGCATACTAGTGACACTATGTTTGTCTATGTATTCACACATGTATTATGTTTCAGATTAATACAATTCTAGCATGAATAATAAACATTTATCATGAAATAAGGAAATAAATAATAACTTTATCATTGCCTCTTGGGCATATTTCCTTCACCCTGCGCCGCATCCACTCCACAAATTTCCCTCCATATGTGTAATATGTTTGATGTTTTATGAAAATTTTACGGTGCGACGAGCGCTCCGGCCGAACAGATCCTGTAAACGTCCCTTGTTATACACATTTTATGGGACGCGTGGTTGCAGGATCTGCTAGAGATGCCCTAACTATCTACTACAGAACTACATACTGATATGCAAGCCCTTGTTTCTTTGAAACAAGGAAGGTTTCCGTTGGAATTCAGAACAACAACATGCTTCTGAGAAACTAAAACATGCTACGGTTAATTCCCCTGTTCTGACCCTGCCTGATTTCCCTAGGCCATGGACTCGAGTAGCCTAGCGCGAAAGCTGAGGTCGCTGTGCATCGCGGGGGAGCTCTCTCGTGCCGTGAGCCTCCTCCACCGGAGCGCCGTGTTCGCCGTCTCGAGCGCCTACGCTCTTCTGCTGCAAGAGTGCGTGAACCGGAGGGACGCGAGGCTCGGCAAGAGGATCCACGCGCGCATGGTCTCCACCGGCTTCAGATGCAGCGACTACATGGCCACCAAGCTGCTGATATTTTATTCCAAGATCGGGGAGCTCGGCGTCGCCCGGAACCTGTTCGACGGAATGCCGCGCAGGGACGTCGTGGCGTGGAACGCGATGATATCCGGGTGCACGCACGGGCGGGAGGAGGCGCAGGCGGTGGACATGTTCGGCCTGGTGCGGGCTGAGGGGCTGAGGCCGGACCAGTTCACGTTCGCGTCGGTGCTCTGCGCGTGCGCCAGGATGGCCGCGCTGGACCACGGCCGGCGCGTGCACGGCGTCATGGTCAAGTCCGCCGTCGCCGCCGTCAACGTGTTCGCCAACAGCGCGCTCGTCGACATGTACCTCAAGTGCAGCAGCGCCGAGGACGCGCGCCGGGCGTTCGCGGCCGCGCCGGAGCGGAACGTCACCATGTGGACCGCGCTCATCTCCGGGCACGGCCAGCACGGCCACGTGCGCGAGGCGCTGGCGCTCTTCGGCGAGATGACGCGCGACGGGTTCCGGCCGAACGACGTGACGTTCCTCGCTGTGCTCTCGGCCTGCGCGCACGGCGGGCTCGTCGATGAGGGTCTGATGCACTTCTCGTCCATGCCGTCGGACTACGGGCTCACCCCAAAGGGCGCGCACTACGCGGCGGTGGTCGACATGCTCGCCAGGGTCGGCAGGCTCCGCGAAGCCTACGAGCTTGTCAAGAACCTGCCGGACTGCCAGGAGCACTCGGTGGTCTGGGGCGCGCTGCTGGGCGCCTGCAGGAAGCACGGCGACGTGGGGCTGGTCGAGCTTGCCGCGCAGCGCTTCTTTCGGCTGCAGCCGGGGAATGCCGGCAAGTACGTCGTCCTCGCGAACACGTACGCTGCCTGCGACATGTGGGACAGCGTGGCCGGTATGCACGAGTCCATGAAGTCGCTGGGCATTCGGAAGGACCCTGCTTGGAGCGCCGTCGAAGTCCAGGGGAAGAAGCACGTCTTCCTCGCCAGAGACACATACCACGACGAGAGTTGGGAGATATATGAAGCCTGCAATGCCTTGGCCCGCTCGATCAACGAGCACTCCTTGCGAGTGTGAGCTATGGTGGAAAGGATCGGCAATCGCTGCTGGTCGGAGATGTTCATAAATCCTTGCGATTTGTTGAGTGACGATGCTGGCCTTGTCGTTTGTCGCAATTCAGCTGTATCCATGGACTGACAGGCAGTACCGGCAGTACCATCTGAAGGGGATGTTTCTGAATGATACAGCACAGTCGGTCGTTCGGAAAGAGATAGAACAGCTGGTTTCTCTGGAAGCAACAAACTCAGGTCAGCTAGTGCCATACTAACTCTGTTTCCAACAACAGTTGCCTGAATGAAACTTTCCCAAATGTTTATTGCGCTTAACGTCGACAAGATATAAATTATGGGTAAAAACTGGAGATAAACAAGTAGATCATCCTTATAGTATTTCAGGTGGGCAAAGTTGAGGCACCAGACACTATTTCCTCCTCTTCCCATAACAAACCGTGCCTGCTAAGACTGAATGAACAAACTCCCTTATGTTATTCTTTTCGGACAAATGATTAAACCTCAGCAATCTACTGCGGTAATGCAGAGGCTCTAACAAGCCTTCTTGATCATCACCTAAGTAATGTGCTTCACAGCACATGCCTACCAGCTAAAACAAACCTATATATCTATCTATGTCTTCTCTTCCAGTGCTGTTACACTGAATCTTTCGGGACAACATTACACCATGAATGGAGAGCATTATCAGTTGGGGACAAGTGTCCCAACAAAACCCACACCGACGACAAAGAAAGCGATGGATTGCATGAAGAGAAAGACATAGTAATATCTTTTGCCAAACAAAAGGTCATAACTTCCACAAAAGAATATATAGGCTGCAACACCAAGCTCCAAAAGCTGCAACCTGATTCCATATTAAAGTTTAGGTACGAGAGTTGAGAGATGCACATGAGAAAACCAATTATGATAATGTACCTTTCTCTTATCCGCATTCGCAGCTTCTTGGTAACTTTGCTTTGTACTTTCATCTTCAGAATATCACCAAGCTTTTCTGTCACCACCCACTCATTCACCCTCCCTAGCTCCAGTAGACCGCTGAAGGTCGCCTTTGTTCTATGCAATGACATGACATTCTCAAACAGTACCCAAAAGATAACCAAGTGAAAAGACCTGCATCAATTGATGATTTCTCATGTTAATACACATGTGTCGAAGTTAGGAGGTTTAGGTTCATCACCTTTTAAACAAATTGCATAGATGAGATGATTGGTACCTTGGAGTCCCAACAGCATTGAGAAGGGTGATAACGGTTGGAATGTAGAAGTAACCCCACCTTGGTATCTCAACCTCAGGAACAAAAACTGTGGCTGGGATAACAAGGCAGTAAAACACAGACGTCAAAATGTGCCCGATTATCTTGCGCACGAGAAAGAAGTTGTAGATGACGTAGATTTTCTTCCAAAGCGTCACTTTCTGCATCAAGATCAATATAGCTTGTTAGCAATAAATTTTATCTGTAACAGAAATTTCAAAATATACTAGCTTGGTGCAAGTGACCTGATTTTTGACAATCTCCATCAACATTTTCCTGAACAGATTTGCAGGCCCGCACGACCATCTATGTTGCTGGTACCGAAATGCCTTGAACGTACTTGGGAGCTCACTTTTAACCTGAAACAACATTTACAAGTTCAGCACATGGTTCATACAAGGAGTGCAAAGTGATGCAGTGGTTTTCTTGCATGAAACTGATAGGTTACTGGTGCATATTTACCCTGAGATCACCAAGGTACACAAACTTCCATCCCTTGAGGCTTGCTCGGACAGCCAGGTCCATGTCTTCGACCGTGGTTCGGTCCTTCCAGCCACCTGCCTCATTCAGAGCAGATATGCGCCACACACCAGCGGTTCCTGTTAAACAAGTATTTTGCATGTTAAGAAGACGGATCAGGTGATGCAAAGTGTGACTGCTGGCTGCTGCTAAAATCCATGTTCAAGTATGTACTACTATCTGTTAGTTAGTCCAGGAAAATATATATGGGGAATTTGATCCTTCAGTTGTGTTATCTCTATCAACCTTTGTGTTTTTTCTGTATCTTTTTCCCGGTTAGACCTAGAGCTGCCTAACATCAAAATCGTTAGCGCAATTGATTATCTGCCTAATGGTAACTCTGATCATGTTGCAACCTATGCTTGTTCTAGTAATACTATTGTGTCCCTTGGTTTCCTAGTATTGTTTCGTGGAAGAGCTGACACAGAAGGCAAATGGTACACTGATGCAATTGCATACGATTTTCTGACAGTGTGATTTGATGCCATGTTTGCCTTTTCCTATTTATGTACACAGGAAAAAGAGACAGAAGCTTATAATTGGTCAAAAGGAAACACAGAGGCCTCACAAATGTAAATGGTGACATTCATATATTGCGAGATCAAAAGTTTATTACCATTGAAGCCAAAGAAGGCATAAGCTGAGGAACCCACTTCTTGCTCCACCTTGAAGTGATAGTCCAAGGACATCTCCTGCATCCTTGTCATCAAGCACTCATTTGCATTCACTGCTTACTCACACAGAATCAGCAGCAGCAAGAGAAATGTCAGCACCATGCAGTACAGAATTTCGGCCAAAACAAGAAGGGATGCCCGAGATGATGTACCGAATACCCAGCGGGCCTGGACGAGGGCGATCTCGGGGTTGTGGACGAGGAAGGGCATGGCGCGGCTCAGGTAATCCGGCTCGGGCTGGAAGTCGGCGTCGAAGATGACCACATAGTCGCAGTCCTTGACGTAGCCGTGCTTCATGCCTTCCTTGAGCGCGCCGGCCTTGTACCCGCGCCGGTTGTCCCGGATCTCGTACTTGATGTTTACACCCTTGTTCGCCCACCGATGGCACTCCGCCTGCACCAGCTCCTGCACCGTGGTATACGCGATCACGAAATGAAAACATCAGGATCCGTGCATAACTGCATATAGTATATGCATGCAGTTCACGTTAATGGCCGTATGTACCAATTGTAATAAAAGAATTAAAGAAACAACAATGGGTGAGCATGTGCATGTTATGCGCTCTTTTCGCACACTTCCTGCCATAAGAAAATGCTAGGTTTTCCGTGTCTCCCGGCGGATAGGGCCTCAGGAAGACGAGATGGCGGCAGCTCCTTGAAGATGGAATCAGATTCTCATCGCTCAGTCTCTATCCTGATGATGCGTCTAGCATCGTCGGGGGGCATGTGGAGGTGTGTCTCCGGCGGATCTGTTCTTGATGGATTTGCTCAGATCTTGTCGTTGTTCGTCTATGTTCGTCTGTCTTAAGGTTGGATCTTTCTGATCTGCGCTACTCTTCAACCACATCGGTTGCTGTTCTGATCCGTTGGTCCTATGATGCCTTAGCATGATGCTTCCCGACTGTCTAGTACAACAAGTTTTGCCCGGCTCCAGCGAGGGAGGGGCGATGACGACGGCGCGCCTTCGGCTTGCTTCAGTGCTTGTAGTCGTCGCTAGATTGTATACGGATCTGGATGTAATTTTTATTATTTCTAGTGTTCGTTGTACTGCCACGATTGAAGATGAACAGATGAAAAAATTTGAAAAAAAATTCAACAAACAACCGCACGTGTACTGATATATGCTAAGTGCGTATATACATGCGTGTGCTTCTTTTTCTGAAGAAACCACGGTAAATGAAAAGTCTGAACTACCTCAATCTTATGGATACTGGAAATGTGCTGGAAGTTGGAGAAAATGCTTATGGTTTGTGCGCGTATGCCTATGCGGTTTACCTTGATGGCGGGGTCCGTGGAGTCGTCCAACACCTGGATGACGATCCGATCCGACGGCCAGGACAGCCCGCACGCCGCCCCGATCGACTTCTTGTAAACCTGCGAGTCAACCATACAAAAAAAGTAAGTAGAACTCCTACAATTTTTATCGGAGGGCGGCATTACAGCGAAAGATTTTGCCAGCAAATGGCAGATTGTCAGCAGCCAATACAGTAAAATCCGTACAGCGACGTGGTTTCGTGCTCTCTCTTTCCTCTAGGCTGTGGAGCGTAGACAGTGCTCACCTCGCGTTCGTTGTACATGGGGATCTGGACGAGGACCATGGGATAGGCGGCGTTGCCGAGCTCGGGGTCGTCGTCGCGGAGGGGCTCCCACCGCCACTGCCGCTCGGGGCGGCGGCCGATCAGCCTCATCGCCACGATGACGACGGCCATGTACACCTTCTCCACGAACAGGATCACGCACATGGCGAGGCAGACCATCACGGACGCGCGCAGCAGCGGCGCGATGACCGGGCCGCGGACCTGCTTCCACACCACCGCAATCTGCTCCGCCGCCTCCATAGCAGCACGCACGTTAGCAGACGAGAGGCGAGTAAACTAGCAGCGACAAGAATGGGGCGTGGCTGCTCCTGCGTGGAGCTGGGATGTGTCTGTCCTGTCAGCGTGGTGCTGGTGGTGGGAGCAAAGGCGAGGGTATAAAAGGAGGGAGAGAAGCGAGAGGGACGGCGGCGATGACGTCGGGTAGGGGTGGCTTTTTTTGCTCGATTTATGGCGTATAAAAGATAGAGATTGGAGATCTCCAAATACTCCATATCACCAATTTGATTGCGCTGACTGCTGCTGATATTTGTCCGTGGTTGTAGTTACTTATATATGGCGCAGTAACATTTTGCATGATATAGATGGTATATTGTTCTACTTTACTTTTTGTATTTTGTGTAAAATTCGCTCTTTATTCATTAGCTGATTTTACGAGGCTATATTGGTTGTGGCATTTCGTGCACGATATGGTCAATTTACCAGTTGATATTTTGCGTGATATGGTGAATTTAATGATTACTTTTACTTGTAGATCCAAAATCAGTCTAATTAGGCCTAGATTGTATGAGCGATTGTATTTGTTGTACACATGGATAGAGGAGGATGTGCATGTCAATAAACCCAATTAATGGCATGGTTCAATTTGTCTTACTCCCTCCGTCACAGTTTAGAAGACACAGTTAAATTTACGTGCGTTTCCATAATAGACAAGGTTTAGGGCGCATTGCATTTATTTCTAGTAGATAATTAATACTCCGATATACTATTTCTATATGCATGCGTAGTGTGAATGCTATTTCTTAGGCCATCTTACAACCAATAGATAACCACCTAGGTCCCAGAGAATTTACAAGCGCGCCTACTAAACCGTGACGGAGGGAGTACCAAAACTTGAGACCTTGTACCCTCAACTTTTTTGATAGGACTCGTCCAATTGCACGGATAAACGATTTCGGCGCGCGAAAGAAGTCTTGCGCGGGAACACATAATAGGACATGTTTTACAGAGTGCGGCGTTGCAGAGGTCGGGCTCCATTGAGCCCGTTTTGCCAAAAAATATATTCAAAATATACTTAAAAGTTTCAAAAAATATCAATTTCTTTTATACAAATACATATGCATGTTTGTCAAGTAGGTAAAAAGTTTCATCATGTAATTCAGTTATTTGTGTGCTACACAAAAAGATAAATATCTGACATAAAAACAACAAAGATATAGCCTATATTAATCTCTGTATTTATCTTTTTCATATACACTACATGAAAACATATATGTTCATGAAATTTCATACGTGTATAATACAAATACACATGTATGTATAGACTTTTTTTCAGATTTTTTCAATGTGTGAAAATAGTATTTTCGCTGAAAAAAAATAAAGAGCTATGTGGAGCTCGGTCTCTGCAATGCTTTTTTGATGTTTTACAGGATTACTTATAGCTGCGAACAAATAGTGATGTGCGGGCTTCAAATGTGGAAGAACTCTCCCCCAGGTGGCTCTTGGCTTTGGCCGCTTTTGAGCAATATATTCAGGTGGGAGAACTCTCTGCCCGGTGATTCCTCAAAAAAAAGTGATGTCTGGACTTCAAATGTGGAATTTCTAACAACACAAGTTTCTTACATGGTAATGTATCAAACCATGATATCGTGATAGCCCAAATTTTATGTTGTGTGAAAAAAAAATTGTGGTACTTTGAATTTTACATGTCCACATGTTTGATGATCCTTTGATCCTATGTCTAGATCAAACTACAAACAACTCCCTGGTTGCTTCCATGTCTTATGCTATTGGATCTAGTTTTGTGGTCTAATTGTGTCATTCAGAAGTTTGTGTGAGTAATTGTATTATTTGATGTATGTGCATGTGCATTCACCTAATACTTGATAAGACATGATATAGTTGATATTGGTGAGCACTCAATTAACAAATGTTTAGTATCACGAGGTTTTAACGTCTTATTATCTTTTAAGATATGCATTGTGAAGGTTTCCGTTTCTTGTATGTTAAATGTGTTTGGTATGCCATGTAACAATAAATATGTTGGCACTGGTTTATTATTTTGTATCTTTTATTTAGTAATTATTAAATGATAAAAATATAATCAATAAATATTCTATGATATGTAAATATGATATATGATGGTATATCGATCTCGTTATCAATATCCTCATGAAGTTTCGTATTTCAAACGTGTCTATATGTTTTCCACTATTGATGAAATAAGGGCTGATATGCTATTAATGTGTTACCATGTTTTTGCATGTGTACTTTGCTAGGTGTTGTGTGGTGGAAGTGAGGTGCTCGATGCCGATGAATGTCAGCTCTATGTGAGTTCTCATTGCTGCAAAATTATTGGCATGGGCAGAAATGCTAGACTGGTTAACTGGGGTAGGGGTTTGATCTATGTCTAGATGTGTCCTGACATGTGTGTTCAATCAACATCAAATCTATGCAAAGGGATCTAATGGATACACATTGTCAATTTCGCTTATTTGAAAACTTAAAATACCCCTAAAGTTTAAAATCTTTGTTTGTTACCTCTCCCATGGGGTTATCATGACTAATGACAACCTGACAAAGCATAACTAGAAGGATAGAGCAAACAAAGTTGCTTTTGTAAGTAAATTACTCAAAGTCAGCTCATTCGGGGTAACCACTTTTTGTTTTTTTCTTGTAGAACACTACGTCTCAGGTAGTCCGTTACTGATGTTCGGTACTTCTTTCTTGAGATTATTTTGATGCAAAAAATTTAATGGGAGCCAATAATCAGGTCCAATAGTCCAAATGTAATAACAACGGTACACTGGCAGACATGAATCAAGGCATAATGCATGCTAATTTGAAATAGACGATTGAGAGATAAATGTGACCCTGTGAGATATACATGATTACCTAAATCGTGGTGCGATTTGTGACCTACCACAGCAACCAACTGCGTAAACAACAATTCAAAGTCAACCATGCATGATGGGGGTCTCAAAAATGGGGAGGGTAGATAAAGTGATCAAGGGGAGATTCAGAGTAGCCACCTACATGGCCATGCTGGTCATTCTTGTTGTAGCATCAGGACCTTCCCATATGGCTAGGTTCTTGTTCAATCATGAACACGTCATGGCTAATTTTGATCAACACATGTCTGGTGTGGCACAGGCAAAGACAGATTAGTAGTCGAGTCACTCACATGTCCTACGAGCGCAAGTAGGTTTCCACTAGAAGTCCAGGGGACGTGGATCACTCATAGGTTCCAAACTCAATTTGGTGCGCACATCAAACATTAGAAAAAACAACTTTGGTGCATGCAACCCGCATTAAACAAAGCGTTCGTCCATTGTAAGCCGCGAATAGACTCTAGTTTTCATTTTACCGGTGAAACACACAACGATCTTAGCACAAATTTTGCACGCCATTGATCTCCACCGTGATTGAAAAACATGCTAATGGCTTAGTGTATAATTACTGTGGGGAAATGTGATGTGTTAGCCCACCTTTATCCCATTCATGAGTGACTTTGTGAGTTGTCCACCCATCACACCATGCTAGTTTCTCTCTCCCCATGTGTTTTTATTTCACTTCCAATCTTCAATCTCTTATATCTTTTGAACTGAAAGGCTAATATATGTTTCGTTTGCATATTGTGATCCTTGCTATGAATATTTTTAAACCACTCTAGAATAAATTTTGACAATTTTTACAATTTCACCAAGTTTAAAATATTAAAACTTGAATTCATAATAATTACTTTTTTTTGCCAAACTTCAAAAAGTTTTAACAAGTCCCATATGAATCAACTCAATTCGTAATATTAAGTTTATGTTTAGATTTAGGGTTTTGTTGGGGATATAACTACCAAGTATGACCCGCCCAGAAGGGGTCGGGTCAATCCTAATGGCGGGTTACTAAAAGTTCAGTGAATATACAAGGCGATGGTTTAGTATAAACCTTGTAGTAGGCCCAAGCCCAGAGGCGGATTGAGGCCCATGATTGTAAACCGCCATGAGTAAGAAAGGCTTGTAAAGAAAGGCATGTAAAGGAAGTCACCGAGCCAGACACATTATATGAGCCGGCCGGGACTCTGTAGGCCGCCAGGCGTCAACCCGTGTATATAAGGGGACGACCCGGTGGCGGCTTAGGGCAAGAGACAACAGATCGGTAGCCAAGCTAGCGGACTCGCTCCTTGGTAATCGAAACCTAGCAATACAACATCAACTGGACTAGGCCTTACCTTCACCGTAAGGGGCCGAACCAGTATAAACCTCTCGTGTTCTTTGTCCCGATTAACCCCTTTAAACTTCCTAGTTGCGATGGCCCTATGACTAAGTCCTTTTGCTAGGACATCTGCCGTGACAATTCCATGACAGTTGACGCCCACACCGTGGGGCCAGCGCACGGTGGATTTGAGTTCTTGAAGGGAAACTTCGAAGGGCTCAAGGGATACGCTGTGGGCCGGATGACCAAGAGTCGTCGCGGAAAGCTCTACATCGACGACGAAGGCTGGGGCCTCGACGCCGGCTCGATTGAGTACGGGTACCAGGTCCCCTTCGGCGGAATCCATGTTTTCATCGATCGGATCGGCGAGTCAGGCCCTAAGCCGGACATCTGCACCAAACTCATCGAGACGGCTCAGCGCGCGAGACCCGCCCGGGCTCAATCTGCCGTGCGGCGGGCCTTCGTGGGTTGCATCCATGGAGGGGAATTTTCTGAAGGATCGATAGACGGTGGTGAGACGGCCATCTGCTCTGACGGCGCGTCGTCCACATGCGAGACAGATTCTTTGTATCAACTACAGGATGGCGTGCTTGGGGGCTGTTCCAATGGCAGCAGTATTCTGGACCCCTCTAAGCCGCCGAATCGAGCCGGAGTCTTCATGGCTGACACTCAACCCGGGCAGAATTCTACGGCTGCGGCAACAATAACCACCGGGTCGGCAGCAACCGAGTCAGGAGACCCCACGCGCCCCCGGCTCAGGTACTAATGGACCTCATGGATAAGATGACGGCTCTGTTGACAGCTGTGGTTGAGTC